ATAATCAAACAACCAATTCTTTGAAGCCTCAACGTGCTTTTTTTTGTTTTAATCTCAAAATGTTGTAGGATTTGCGTCATGACACCCTTATTTGTCTGTTGAAGTTCCACGTAAGTAAGTTCTCACCATGTTGGTAGTCGGACATTTGAGGTCTTTTATCTTATCTATTGCATGTTCTACTTTTTCGAGATTTGGTCTAGAGAGGCATAGAAAATTTACTTTGTATAGAACCACACTGATTCCTACAACTAATACACCAAAGATTGTAATATCAAAATGTAGGAGTTTTTGATCGAAAGCATACTTATTGTTGAGTTTGTAGGCTTGTTATTCAGCAGACAGTCGCTATTACATGAACTACTACTCGTTGATCACCTTCCACAACAAGTTGTCGGCTCCGCTTTCCGAACTTTCCCGAAGTCCTGCGTTGATTGCCGAGTTTATGAGCTTTCCTTGCTTGGAATTTACTCGCCGATTTGTGATTGTACTCAAACGAAGTACAGTTGGGACCGAACACCTTATATATCGCCCCTGAGCTTTATATTAAGGATGATACCTTAAGTATAACGTAGCTCATATCTTGATATAAACGCAGGTGGACCTCTTCAAGCATTGAAAAACGTGATGATTTTAACTTTTCAATTGTAAGCTTCCCATTTCTCAGCACTAACATAAGCGGCGGATAGTTTCAAAGCCCGAGGCGCTTTTCATGTCAACGCACCTAATCATGCCGATTTTGAAGTTCATTCATATTTTTTTTTCATTTCTTGAATCGATTTGCGAGTCTTCATTAGCCGTAAACTACTGGCGCCTGAATTTATATCATATGAAATTACTTTAATTGATCTCGGGGAGGTTTTGGGTTTGAACTCGGCATGGTCAAACCGAAGACTTTTGCTTTGCATTTGCTGTTTTTCTGGTAAACACGCGACATAAAGGAGTAAGAGGAAAGACTAGATTCGAATTATTTTTCGATAATAAGATATGGTAAAATCCGAATACATGTCAACTCGTACCTTCGCCAACTCGTACTTTCATACATCATGATATAGCAACATACAAATAAAACAGAATCATATACTAGTAACTTTGATTGGTAATATGATGCAATCCTAATTGTTTCAAATCAAAACTAATAAAATGCTAATCGTGAAATTGTTTGAATGACAATTTAGACTTTCGATTATCTTACATTGTAATATATTTCGTTGTTTGAATGAAACCACCAAGTGGTTAATTGTGTCATTGAACAGTAAATATATTAAGCATTAAATGTGAATGTCAACAGTTATTTAATTTGATTAATTTGATTAAATATTTTGTGATGTACAGTTATCAAATGAGATCTTAATTCAGATAAATTGATTGCGTCGAATGTCTTAATGTATTGTCATTCTTATTCAGTCATAACTTATAGTATCTAATAAATATATGTAAAACATTTGGTCTTAGTCATTAGTCTATGGAAAGTGCGAATCGAGAAAACCTTTTCTTATGCAGACACTCCATGAGTAAAAGATGTTTTTTCCAGTAAAAAAAAATATTTTAATGTTAAAATATATAAAAACGAGCAACACGGTAAGATTTTTTTATGGACATATTAACTGTTAGATATAACCTATCATTTAAATATAAGCAAAAATTAAATCTTGAAATATGCTCAATATCAAAGTAATAGCTAAAGTTTATGTCCTTGTACAAATTGTACTGCTACGTTTTTCTTTTGTAAATAAATAATCAAATGCTATTTATTTTATTGCAGATGCGATATTTTTTTAATGTAGTTGCGGTATGTTTTTATTGTAAATATACGTTTCATGTTATATGAGGTAGCAGTTTCAGCTCACTGCTTACTGTCAAACTTTTGAGACATCTTTCGAAATTCTTATTTGTTCTTTGAACATATTTGTGTTAGATAAAATTTATATGGCAGATGTTTTTCACTTGATTCGTTTATTGATAGCGTTTGATTTTGTCAGTTTTTATGAACTTTTTGAGTTTGCCTTGGAGCTCGAGATTTTTGTTATACTTTCTTATACGTGAAGGAAAAAATCAAGTTTTATTGAATAGACCGCCCGAAATTTTCGTTTAAATTGTTTGCATCAACATAACATATATCTGGACACGTCCAAAAAATGCATTTGCGATATCCTTATACTACATATTAACTGTATAAATGGTGTTTAAATCCTAAACACAACTCTAAATACTTGTACATTGTTTGCGCACTTTTTTTAACATGTTTAAATTGAAGAAAGTGTTAGGATCATGTTTAGCTTAGAAATTACAAATGCAGTTTTTAAGTCCTAAAAACTTTTAATTTTAAAACACATTTAAAAAGTGTTTATATTCAAGACATGTGTACATTTAATGTGTTTACTTAGAAAAATGTTTAGATAATATCATAATCTAAACACGAGTCTTCAGGCATGTCAAATAGATGATCGGTGAAAAAAAAAATTACTCTAAGTAATCGAAAAGAAATACGATTCCTAGTTAAAAACTACAAAATTATGTCCTTACTTTTCACATTTTAACATATCGTATGCAGTGCTCGGCCTTTTTTTTTTTTTTTTTTTTTTTTTATCTTTATGCATAATTCGATAATATTTGGTATGCATTTGTATTTGTATTAGCATTGGCATATGTTTATTGATATACGGTCTTGCCCCCTGAACGATGGTTCATTGACTACGAAATTTTGGCATCGCTTACAGTTAAAATTTTTGATTAAGTCAGTTTAAGGATACCCATTTACAGTTGGTCGAGGATATTTGGTATGCAGTTGTAACAGCATTATCATATCTCATTTCCAGGGAGATTATTTGGCCCTGCAACTTCAGCCATGTTTCATTGACTTTGAATGTGTTGCATAATAAATGCATGACAGATGATATATACATAATTTATATATCAGTGTCAATAGAAATAAGAAGATGTGGTATGAATGCCAATGAGACAACTCTCCATTAAAGTCACAATGTGTAAAAAGTAAACAATTATAGGTCAAAGTACCATGGGCCTTCAACACTCAGTCTTGGTTCACACCGAACAGCAAGCTATAAAGGGCCCCAAAATGACTATAGTGTTAAACAATTCAAACCGGAAAACCAACGGTCTAATCTATATAAAAAACGAGAAACGAGAAACACTTAAGAACCACACCAACAACGACAACCACTGAGACAGGTTCCTGACTTAGGACAGGTGCAACACTTTATTATTCTAAACTGACACTAGACAGATTGTTTTTACATCATAAGTTGAAAGGTAGTAAATACTAAGCAATATTGATTGGAAAACCCAAAATTGATCGACGAGGAGGGGATATTGAACATCGTGTCTACTTCTTTATAAGCGTATTTGGTTTAACATGTACGTACATCATCTGTACGAAATTTCACTGTTATTTTGCCTGTACCATCGAATATGTCATGAATGATTGTTCTACTTTGTTTGGATGTATTGTGTCATATTATCGTATTTTTTTTTATATGAAAAAAAGTATCGCATTTCTATTAGAAAAATATCGCATTGGAAAAGTTGTTTTTCATAATCAAAGCATATCGTTATTCTATTAGCAAAACGTCGCACTCATATAAGAAACAATAGCATTTTTAACCTATTACTGTGTAACAGTGATTATGGAGTAGAATGCAATGTAATACGTTCAAAAGCCATTCCACTGTCTTGGGTACATCATTGTCGAAGTATTTGGAAACCTCAAAATTGTAGATCGTGCAAATAGGTTTTATTTAATGTAAATACATATTTACTCAAATAAACACAACATACTTGGCCGGATAAAACATTCGAAATACATGGCAAGTTGTAAATACATTTGTCCTGTTAAACATGTCTATGTTTTAAAAAAAATAAACAAGTATTTTACGATGAATTTTCTTTTATTCCTGCGAATGTCAACATTCGTCTGAAATTTCCCCACAATGCATCTCATTTAAAAAAGAAAATATCGCTACTCCACATAAGAAACGGATTTCTAGATTCGCACTTTCCATGGACTGGTCATGTTTGTTTTTATTCGTGTGCTGGCTTTAATGTTTCAAAAGGATTAGAAAGGTATTCATTATATACACTAACACAAAAAAACTCATGATGTTCAACGCAAAAATCAGTAAAAAATATTCTTTTCCATTGTTCTATGGATCGTCCAAGCTTGAGATTTATGTTCTATATATTCTAATTTACCAACTAGGGTTAAAACTAATGAATTCATTACTTCACAGTTCACGATTTATGCTGCATAAAAAAAAATACATGTTTAAAAAAAGCATTAAGAAACATCATATCAGAAGACCAATTAAAAAATAAAATTAACAATAAAATTTTCAAATTACCCGTCCTCATCGTGGGGTCTGGAAACACGCTTAAACAATAAAGATGGCAAAGCGTGGCTGAGAGTTCTACAAATAAAAATTGGCAAACCACCATGTACATAGTGTATAACGATTGTGTTAGATGTGAATGTAAATACGCTTACAATATAACAAAGCGTATCTGGGACTAACCAATCCCTTTCTTCCTCACAAATATTTAATTTCTTCATCTATCAATATAATAAAAAAAAACTACACAATCCCTGTCTTCCTCACAAATGTTTAATTTCTTCATCTATCAATATAATAAAAAATATTTACCAATTTATTCCTGCCCATATATTAAAAAAAAATCAAATGCATATTTTTTAATATTTATTTGGAATGAGTAATCTTAATAAAAAAAATGTTTTCTTGTCGCTAAATATATATATAGTCTTCTTGTCGCTTCTTGTCGCTAAAATTATTCTTCTTGTCGCTTCTTGACGCTTTTTGTCGCTAATTAGTGAGACCCAATTAATGGAGTAATGGAGTTGGTAGAAGTACGAGTTGGTAAAAATAGGGTACGAGTTGGCGAATCTACGAGTTGTTATGTACCCGTAAAATTCAAAGAGGTTCCAGCATCAATCGGCAATCCTCGAGTGAATCTGCTAAAGGTACGGAATAGGCCGAGTTGTGACGAATGGTTCCAGCATATTATCATTGCTTTCCCTCCCCTTACTTATATATTCCCCTACTTGACGCGCTTATTGGATACTGGAAACATATTCTTGCTTAATGGCAGACTCGGTGAGTATGATATTGTTAGTCGGTTAGCATCAACTTTACAAATAAATAATGCCCTTGACTTTTCATGAGATGTGTGACATTATCTGCTGATCTAATAAAGTTGATAATGGAAACGGGAACAGGTCAGGAATAACCACCAATTAGGTGGATTAATTTATACCTCAATTGATGTATAATCCACCAATTGACATATAGTGGTATAGACCAATTGACGTATAATGCAAGATTTTTGTTAAAAAATGCTAGTATGAGATAGGAGCATCATTTTGCAACTTACAACCTATTTATGACCATAATTTATTGAGTCCTCCGAAAGTTTCAGTTTTGTCAAAGCCTGCTGCATCTCTTGAGAATGCATGTGTACAACAATTCTTTTGTTGAAACATCTGTACTATTGACCATGATTGACTTTTAATCATGAAAGTCAAGTATTAACAAAGAGCTCCATTCACCTGTGGAGTTGTACTCATAATCACATGACTGCAGACAGTATTGATGTCCATTGACAGGTGATTAGTGGTAAATTTGCCAATCAAGAATTGACAAGATAACAATGGAAGAAACTGCAAATACAATTATTGATTAAATGCAATATGTTATGTCACTATACTAAACTATGAATGTTTGACATGTTTTCATACAATAATATGGTTTTAAGAAAACAATGCTCCATTTTGGTTGAAAAATTTGCTTTGAAAAACAAAGTATTATATGTCATTTGGTCTATACCATTATATGTCAATTGGTGGATTATACGTCAATTGAGGTATAATCCACCAATTGGTGGTTATTCCTGTCCTGGGGAATGCGTCAAAGAGAGAACAAAGAGCAGAAAACAGCCCAAGGCACAGGAACTTGTTTCTATCCTGTATCCATGGGAAGGAATGGCCCAAGTCCACAATGGGTCTTCAACACAGCGAGAGAATCCTGCACCCAGAGGCTGGCCTCAACTGGCCCATATTAATGTATACCAGTTCAGCAAAAATGGAAGTTACACTAAACTCTGAAACATATAACTGATCCAAAATTTAAAAAAAAAACATACAAGACTATCAAATGCCAGAGGTTCCTGACTTGGGACAGTCTCAAAAATGTGGCAGGTTAAACATGTTTTGTGAGATCTCAAGACTCAATCCTCCCCCTACATCATTACATGTATACCTCTAGCCAACATGGCCAATGTGAAATAACCAAATACACAGAAACATGCACAATAAAATTAAAGTTAAAACATGTTAAAAGAGGTCCAAGTCCGATGTTAGAATAGGTAACAGAAGAAACTACACAAAATGACAATAATCATCATAAATTAACAAAGGTCTACTAGCAGTAGTACTGGACATTGATCGGTCTAAGACTACTATAACAATATAGACCTACATGTATAATCTAATCTACTGGTAATAGGGAAAAGGAAGGTGGGGTGGTTCATATTTGATTTTGGGTACAGATGTAACAGTGGTTTGATTCCGCCAGTGTACTTTATCCGAAGGAAGAAAATCCCCAGTGATTTTTATCCACCAACAAAAATTCACTAGGTTTTTCTATCCGGGTCCAGTGGAAAACATCCACCAGTCATTATAAGGTTCTAAAACGAGTTTTTTTAAAGGGGAAATATATATAAAATGTGGCTTAGTAGTTTTTAGTGTATTTGAAACTTGCATAGTTGATTTATGTAAAAAGTTGAGAGTTTTCATCCAAGGAATGGTCACACTAGTGTTTTTGTACCGGAATGATTGCACTAGTTATTTTATACCGGGATTAATTACACTAGTGCTTTAGATCCATACATTGATGAAGTGATTAATACTCATTTTGACACACGATAACACATTAATGCTTATTTACGAATAAGATTTAAATAATTTTTCTTTGCAAATCTATAAAATCATATGCTTTTAAATTGTCACTAATTGTAATATTTATATTTATTTGATTGCCGAAGTTTTTCTGTGTATTTGCTTTTCGGTCGACTTAGATATAAAATCATATCTTCTATATCAATATCAAAGGATGCTTCTATAATTGAAACTTTATGTAAGAACAAATCTGCTCTTTAAATTTGGTTTATATCAAGTTCAATGTCCTGATCATTGATAAAGAATTTTGAGTTATAAAAATATCCTCCTCCTCATCATCAATATCATTTACTGGATTGACCCAGATTAATTAAACTGGTTCCTTGAAAAGCATTCTAATTTTCACCCACTTGTTTTGTAAACAATAAACCAGTCTAATATAAACAATACAACGATATTTAGATCGACGCTTTCACACTATTTACATCCAATATTCTCTAGTGAAAAACAGTTACCCGGAATAAATACACGGCGGAATGAAAGTACGCTTACACAGATGTGCAGCTGTGATTTTTAAAACACCCCCATTCATATATTGAAGTCTTGTGAAAATCATGACCCTTAAGACATATTCCATGGCAAATTATAATCCATTCATATATTTCTCAGTTATCACACATCAGGGCTCCTAAAACAGTCGTATTGTCCGGACTTGACTGGTAAATTATATAAATGAATTGTTGTGCTGAGCCCGAAATGGACACATCTTTTTGATCGAGTTAAGTCATTTCAATATATATTTGATTGTGTGTCTTTTTATGTCATCACTGGTCATTGTACATGTTGTATGTTGTAATGTTACACCACTGTTTCAGGTTAGTGTGAAGGTTGGCGCCTGTTAAAACGTTTAAACCTGCTGCATTTTTATGCACCTGTCCTAAGTCAGGAGCCTGTTGTTCAGTGGTTGCCGTTTGTTGGTGTGGTTCATAACTGTTTCTCGTTTCTCGTTTTTAATATAGATTAGACCTTTGGTTTTCCTGTTTGAATTGTTTTACACTAGTTGTTTTGGGGCCCTTTATACATGTTATATCTTGCTGTTTGGTGTGAGCCAAGGTTCCGTGTTGAAGGCTGTACTTTGACCTATAATTGTTAACTTTTTATACATTGTGACTTGGATGCAGAGTTGTCTCATTGGCACTCATACCACATCTTCTTATTTATATAACATGGGTTTGCCATTTAACATAATGCAGAAAAATGATTTGAAGTTTATGCGATCTTTTTGACCTAATCTTTTGCCTAAAACAACCACACTTTTCCAGTCATAAAAGTGACATTATGAATTATTGCTATCAAAACAAACCCTACTTTAATACCCTCTCATTATAATCAAGGTTGATTAGTTCCCTGACAGCTGTAATTTACCTCACGGGTAGTTACCTCGTCATATCGAGAAGTGTTTAGTAGAGTGATTTTGTCATAGTTTGGTTAAGATGAACATGGTTGTGTTAAGTTACTTCCCTGAACGATTGCCTCAGTTTTATTCAAACGAGAAAATAAAAAACAAATAAGATGTTTTAATTTGCATTGTTAGTCAAACGATCTACATTGGAATTGTTGTTTCAAGAAACTAACGCAGAATAAGCAAACTATTGAAATTGCTATGGTTTGGTTAAGTTATGACATGGTTCGGTTAAGTGTCTAGAAATTCGTCATGGTTTTGATCAAGTTTGTCATGGTTTAGATCCAAATTAATATATATGTGTTTCAGCTCAATATTGATAGTTTTGTTTAAAAACGCTTGTAATTAAACGAAGTTACACAATTTACCAACTGACTAAGAAGAAAAAAAGCCTTTTAAACCAAAATTAGATGCTATAATTGGCAAAGTGTACATTAAACAATTTAACTGTTCGTGACTTGTCTTTGTATGCAAATCGTACTACTACCAGTGTCTTGTAAAAGAATTAGGAATAAATGAGCACTCATGTAATCCCACATACAAAAACATCATTTGACAAGGATGAGATTTTGGTGATTAATAAGTCCTCAATAGCTTCAATGAACATTACTTTGAGCAACAAATCGGAGGACTTACCTTGTTTGTATTGGATACCTAAGCTTTACAAAATTTCACACAAACAGCCGTACATTGCCAGCTCATCTGCATGTTCGACGAAAGAATTGTCATTAGATTGACAAAGATTCTTTCCGAAATGAAAGAGGGTTTTCAGAAATACCGTGAAACTGTTTACTCTCGTAGTGGTATTAACCATATATGGATTAAAAAAAAACTCTTAAAGAACTTCTGAATAAATGTAAATCTCGATATTTCTCTGAAATTAGTTCTATCAAAACGTTTAATTTTTTCAACCCTGTGTACCGCCATTCCCTATGTGTAAAATCCTCTAAAAGAAATAATTTAAATCTACAATGCTTTTCAACATAAAAATGGTAGCGCACGCTATACATTTGTTACTTGTGGATACCATACGGCATATTTTGTTAATAGTGAACAAAAAAATAAAACATGCTGGAGTTTCTTATTGACAAAATATTTGTTGAATTGGAGGTAGACTTTGTCACCAAATTGTGGGTATTTCTATGGGAGTGAACTGTGCGACAGCGACCTCTTCTTATCTTCATATTAGTCGGGGTTCCTTCAGACATTTGTAAAAAACAAGGAGATCAAAGAAGCCATATCATTTAATTTCACATTCATATATATTGTTCTTTCCATTAACAATCCAGACTTTTCTGATTGAATTCCATTAATATACATGTATCCCCCAGAACTAGAAATTAAAGGAACAACAGACACGGCTTTCTCTACCTCAATTTTTTACTTATACCTCGAATTTGACATGAGCGGTAATCTTAGTACCAGAATCTATGACAAACGAGACGATTTTAATTTTAAAATGATCAGTTTCTCCAACCTCAGTAGCAATATACCAACTTCTCCTGCATGTGGGATATACATTTTCCGACTCATTCAATATTCAAGAGCTTGCAGATGCTACTCAGACTTTGTAAACCGTCACCAGTGTCTGAGCAGAAAGTTGATGAACCTGTGATATGTCAAAGAACATCTCGTCCTTTTACCACAAAAGTTCATCAGAAGACCTTGTGGGTAAATATTCCTTTTCAACTTCACAAATAATAAACGATGGTCTTTAAGGTAGATTCATGGTATACCGC